ATCCCAGGCCACTCTCAAATCTGGTCGCTGATGGACTGATGGGTCCACTCATAGTCCATTCTGTGGATGATCCCTTGAAAAGGGGTAGAGACTATGATAATGATATAGTCTTGTTTTACACGTGAGCCGACTTTCTCAAGTTGAAGAATAATAGATCCTCACTTACTCGATCAAATTGACTTTCTGTAGCGATTGGTACCACGAGTTCAGTGATTTTCTTTTGTATCCCGCTCAAAGTATCACTTTCTTTACTGAATTTGCCCGTTCTTGAATGAGCAGAATGAGTACGGTAATGTTAAATGCCCTCATGTCTCCTCAGCGATATAGAGGGAGTTGGGCAGCACCATCCCCCAACTCGGGTAAGGATCACTGTCTCCATTGGGCGGTATCTATTTCTACGGTTGCTGACCTTACTGTTGAAAATCGCTAGCCTTGGTCAATGGAATAGGGTACTTTCACTGCGCATACGCGGAAGAAGGCTCTGTTTGCGAGCAGAGCAATATAAAATTGGAATTGAAAGTGGCTCCCAACGAGAAAACGAGGTTACGTCTGATTGACGGCGCAGCGCATGCTATGTTTCGATTTTCAGCTGATGGACATCCTGTTGGAATTATTATGTGTGCTACGTAACCATGTCACAATTCTCTAATGACATCATCATTACATCACCTTTCTCTTTAATGACATCATCATTACATCATCTTTCCATTTCATGTATTCACAACATTTCACATGTTTTTGTATCTTATTTAAACTGGGCAGTTGATGGTTGGATTGTTCCTCATCTCTTCAATCCATCCATCTCAGGTACAGACCAATCTTCTTTAGACCTCTAGTCTAATCTTGGTACTGACCATTAGCTGCCCAGGTTGGTTTTCTCTACTTTGTTCTTTCTATCTTTATTTCAGTTAAACTTCATCATAGATCTCATATTAAGTTGTATCTGAAATCTCATCTCTTCAATCCATCCATCTCAGGTACAGACCAATCTTCTTTAGACCTCTAGTCTAATCTTGGTACTGACCATTAGCTGCCCAGGTACAGACCAATCTTCTTTAGACCTCTAGTCTAATCTTGGTACTGACCATTAGCTGCCCAGATTGATCACTTGCTTACAGCAACAGGTTATGAGCCCCTCTCAATCTCGTATTTAAATCGAATACTCCATCATGGCTTCTCCATCTACCACTGCACCATCTGATTCGAATACGTCGAACACCACTACTGTCAAGGCTGTGACTGTATCGGGCCTATCCAAACTTAACATAGTGCCTCTCAACAGTCCTGGTACTCATTCGAACTACTTGGATTGGTCTTTCGTGGCTGAAGTAAATCTTGAAGCTGCTAAACTAGATTACGTTCTCAAGCCTATCGAACCTAAAGATCGTCCGGCTACCTGGCCTGCTGACAATAAGACTGTGGTCTCTATTCTCACTCAAATAGTTGACCATTCTAACATCCGCTATATGCGTGGCTTTCGCACTGATGCCGCTGGGATGTGGAAGTCTTTGAAGGATGCTCATCAGGACTCTTCTTCTGGTGGTAGGATGTACTGGTTAAGGAAGATGATAATGACTCGTATCACTAACAATGACGTCGACTCTCATATCACTGAGATGCAAAAGATGTATGATCATCTCTCAGCTTTGATCACCGTCGATAATCCTCTCACTGCCGATGACGTCTTTGCAACTTCACTTCTCATTGCTCTTCCTTCTGATTGGTTGTCATGTGTTTCAAATCTTCTCCAAGATCCTAAAACCCCTTCTTCGAAAATCGTACATACTCTTAAAGCTGAGGTTCTTCGTCGACAGTCTGGTTCCGTCGAAGAATCAGTCGATTTCTCTTCTTCTGCTGTTGATCAATCTTCTGGCTCTGTCAAACCGTGTGCTTTCTGTAAAAGGACTAACCATATAACCGACAACTGTTACTCTCTTCGCGACTTATGTCGTGATCATTCTGGTTTTGTTAACGATCATCTCAAGGCTACGATTCCCTCTGCTTCCAATAGAAGCTCATCGTCTTCTAAGAAGAAACCAAAGAGGTACCCTTCTCGCACCCCAGAAAAGGTTTCGAGAGCATCTATTGTAACTGACGATTCTGCTAGCGAAGAAGAACACACATCTTCTGCTGTGGTAATGGATCAAGTTTCGTCCGCCAAGCTTGTCCGATGGAATCTCGACTCAGGCACTACTACCTCGATGACTCCTTTCTCTCGAATGGTTGATTCTGCTACATCTGTCTCATCAAAATCTTCGATTCGTCTTGCAAATGGATCGGTTATTCAATCTTTAGCTTCTGGTAATGCTGTACTTCCCGACCTTAACTGTCAACATCACACTCTAGTTGTTCCAGGTCTTCGTGAACCTCTTCTTTCAATCTCTGCTCTCTGTGATGATGGTATGACGGTGATTTTCTCTAAAGATCATGCTCAGTTCTTCAAGCCACAAGACGTCTCCACCTCGGCCGAACCACTCGCCACTGCTGAACGTGACGGAAATCTTTACTACCTCGATGGTCAAGAGGTGCAACCTTTTTCGCTACCTTCTACCTCATCAGCACAACTTACTAACAATTCCTTGAGTGCGTGGCACAATAGGCTCGCTCATCCTAGCTTACGAGTACTGAAGGCCATGCTCCGTCATAACAACATTGTGGTTGATTTAAATGATGAGGAAGAAGTCCTGAGATGTCCTATCTGTATCCAAGGAAAAATGAACCGTCGTAGTTTCAACTCAAGAGCAGAGTATCGTGCTACTTCAACTGGTCAAATTGTTCATTCTGATGTAGCGGTCTTTCCTGTTTCTTCCAGAGAAGGCTATAAATACTATGTTTCCTTTATCGATGATTTTTCTAAACTCTCTAAAGCCTATCTTATGAAATCTAAAAGTGAAACTTTAACACATTTTAAACACTATGTTGCCTACCTTGAGAATCACACTGGCTGCAAGATCAAAACCCTTCGCTCCGATAACGGTGGAGAATATGTGTCTAAGGAATTTGAACTCTTTACCAATGAAAGAGGAATCATTCATACACGTGGTCCTCCTCATACTCCAGAACTCAACGGTGTGCCTGAACGATGGAACCGTACTACAAGTGAAAGAGTTCGCTGTCTACTTATTTCTGCTGGTCTACCTCATTCTTTCTGGGCGGATGCTGTCAAATATGCTGTCCACATCTTCAACTCCACACCATGTCACACATCTAAAGGTCTTAAGTCTCCTTATCTACTGGCTTTGGTCGCTCCAATTGATGTTCATTCAATGCATCCCTTTGGCTGTCGTGCTTGGTATCGTGTACCTGATGCTAATCGCAAGAAACTTGATGCTCGAGCACGCCAAGCTATTCTACTATATCCGCTTTCTGATGGAAACGGGTATGTTCTTTGGGATTTAGAGTCTCGGAAAGCTCTTAAATCTCGTGATGTGGTTTTCGAGGATTTTGTCTTTCCATACTCTACTTTCACGTCATCACCATTTCCTGTACCTTCCCCAGTTGAAGTTTCCTGGACGAACCTTTCCTCTACTTCGGTAACGAGCACTGGTCATGCATTGTCACCTGAAGTAGCGGATCCACCTACTCATCGTTCTCCTTCACCGCCTTTGGTGTTCAACCTTCGACCAAGATTTGATCGAAGGTTGGAGGCGTCTATCCATAATAAGGTAAACATGCCTAATGAGGATATCGTCGTTGCTAACAATGAACCATCATATCGATCTCCGCCCTCTCCTCACTCGTCTGCATCGTATCCTTCTGCAGAACCGAGTCCACCTCCTTCTTCACCGCTGCTTCCTCCAGGTGAATCACCTCCTCCTGCTCCCGTTGTTCCGATTGAACCTGTGTCGACAGCACCTAAACAGAAGAAGACACGTAAAGCACCTTCTACAACAGATCTTCCGCGTCGATCAACTAGGTCCCGTCAAGCACCTACACGTTTTGGTGAATGGACTAGTTTTGCGTCAACAAACGACGATGTTCCGGATGAGCCTAAGACTTGGAAGCAAGTTCGGAAATCTCCAAATCGTGATGCGTGGTTAAAAGCGGCGGATACTGAATTTTCCACTCTGGTCGGAATGCAAACCTGGACTCTTGTTCCTCGCCCTCTGAAGCGTAAGATCATCCGTTCTAAGTGGATCTTCAAGGCTAAGCGTAGAGTGGACGGATCTCTACTCAAGCGCAAAGCGAGACTTGTTGCAATGGGTTTTACTCAGATTGAAGGTGTTGATTACAATGAAGTATTTGCTCCGACTGTGCGTCTGGAAACTTTGCGTCTGATACTTTCACTAATGGGTACACGGAATTGGCGTGGTATTCAACTCGACATCAAGTCTGCCTTTCTCAACAGCCATTTAGAAGAACCGATCTTTATGGCTCAACCTGAAGGTTACGAGGATCCGATACATCCTGATTGGGTTCTAAAGCTGAACAAAGCCCTCTACGGTCTGAAACAATCCCCAAGATTGTGGAACAAAGAGCTTCATTCTGCTCTGACTGCTCTGGGACTCACTCAATCTTCACACGATCCAACTTTGTACTATCGACTCAATGGTTCTCGTCTTGTTGGTGCTGTTACTGTCCATGTTGATGATATGTGTATTGTAGGTGAAGATTCATTCGTGTCTGAACTTGAGTCGTCTATCACCAAGCGTTTTGACGTATCGTCCAACGAAGAACTACATCATTTCCTATCAATGCAAATAACTAGGGATCGTGCGTCTCGTACTGTCTTTATATGTCAACAACACTACATCCTCGACCTTGTGAAACAGTATTTTGGCGACTCGTTCAAGAAAGTCTCTACTCCCACCTCATCATCGTTTAAAGATCTCCATCCGAAATTACCGACTGAAGAACCTGCTTCAGGTCCCTACGCCAGCCTGGTTGGTGCTCTCCTCTGGGTAGCACAATGCACAAGACCGGACATTTCATTTGCTGTTGGACGACTTTCTCAACATCTACGTGATCCCTCTCAAGAGCACTGGTTATCAGCATTACGAGTTCTTTCGTATCTTGGCTCAACCTCTTATCTTAGGCTTTCCTTGGGAGGAAATGATTTTTCCGTCTCTGGCTTCAGTGATTCGGACTGGGCTGAAGATCGACATAGCCGACGATCTACAACAGGTTACACTTATCTTGTTGGTTGTGGACCAATCTCTTGGAAATCACGTAAACAACAAACTGTCTCGTTGTCAAGTACCGAGGCGGAATATAAAGCTATGTCTGATTCATGTCGTGAGGCAACTTGGCTGCGAAATCTTCTCTCAGAATTAAAACTTCGACCTTCTACATCTATTCCTATTCATGTTGATAACGAAGGAGCTGAGGCTTTGGCAAAGAATCCATCCCATCATTCTAGGACAAAACATATACATACTCGGTATCATTTTGTAAGGGAGTGTGTTCAAGACAATAGTGTAACTATTAAACATGTGTCTTCTGCTGACATGCTTGCAGATTTACTCACAAAGCCTCTTGATAAAATACTGCTTCAACGTCAACGTTTAATGTTAGGCATCAAATGATTATTTTTTTTCTTTCTCTTTTTCTTTATCTCTTTTCCTTTTTTTTTTTTTTTTTTTTTTTTTTTTTTTCTCTTCTTAATTTTTTCTCTTACTGTTTCTGTTATA